CAACCCTGTGTCACCAACCCCGTGTCACCGACCCCGTGTCACCCCCCGGTGTCACCAACCCTGTGTCACTGACCTCGTGTCACTGACCCCGTGTGACCCCCCCTGTGTCACCAACCCTGTGTCACCCACTGTGTCACCCACTGTCACCAACCCTGTGTCACTGACCTCGTGTCACTGACCCCGTGTGACCCCCCCTGTGTCACCAACCCTGTGTCACCCACTGTGTCACGCCCCCGCGGGACCCCCGCCCGCCTTCGTCAGCTCGGCCGACCTGCTGAAGCTGCGCTCGCTGGGCGAGGGGCCCCCCAAGGAGCTCAAGATCCGCCTGATCAAGGTGGAGAGCGGGGCCGGGGGGCCCGGGGGGATCCCCGGGCTCGGGGGGACGCCCGCCGGTGACGCCTTGGTGGCCTCGGAGGTGGCCGAGCCCCGGGGGCTGCCCCTGGCGCAGCTGACGATCCGGCACAGCGCCGCCGAGGTGGTGCGCGCCAGCAAGTGAGTGGGGGGCTCGGGGCGGGGGTCTTTGGGCTGGTTTTGGGGGGGCTGGGGGGTCCCATGGAGGTTTAGAGGGGTCACAGGGGAGATTGGAGGGTCCCATGGAGGTTTGGGGGGGTCACAGGGTGTTTTGGGGCTTATTTTGGGGGTCCCAGAAGGGTTTTGGGAGTCCCACGGAGGGTTAGGGGGGTCACAGGGGAGATTGGAGGGTCCCATGGAGGTTTGGGGGGGTCACAGGGTGTTTTGGGGCTTATTTTGGGGGTCCCAGAAGGGTTTTGGGAGTCCCACGGAGGTTTAGGGGGTTACAGGGGAGATTTGAGGATCCTACAGAAGTTTAAGGGGGTCACAGGGTGGTTTGGGGTTCATTTGGGGGCTTCTGGAGGGTTTGGGGGCTCATTTGAAGGGGTCACGGGGGAGTTACAGGGTATTTGGGGGGGTCATTTTGGGGGTCCCTGAAGGGTTTCGGGGGTCCCACAGAGGTTTAGTGGGCTCAGGGGAGATTTGAGGGTCCTACACAAGTTTAAGGGGGTCACAGGGGGTTTTGGGGTACATTTGGGGGCTTCTGGGGCGTTTTTAGGGCTCATTTTGGGGGTCCCTGAAGGGTTTTGGGGGTCCCATGGAGGTTTAGGGGGGGTCACAGGGGAGATTCGGGTTCATTTGGGGGCTTCTGGGCGGTTTTAGGGCTCATTTTGGGGGTCCCTGAAGGGTTTTGGGGGTCCCATGGAGGTTTAGGGGGGGTCACAGGGGAGATTCGGGTTCATTTGGGGGCTTCTGGGCGGTTTTAGGGCTCATTTTGGGGGTCCCTGAAGGGTTTTGGGGGTCCCATGGAGGTTTAGGGGGGGTCACAGGTAGATTTGGGTGATTCTGGGGATTTGGACTGTTCTGGGGTGGGGATCTTTGGGATTTTGGGGGGATTTTGGTCTGTTCCGGGGTCCCACCGGCGCTCCCGCAGGCAGGCGCGGCTGAAGGGGCGGTTCCGAGGGGGGGATCTGTGAGATTTTGGGGTGATTTTGTGGGATTTTGGGGATTCCCGGGGTCCCACCGGCGCTCCCGCAGGCAGGCGCGGCTGAAGGGGCGGTTCCGAGGGGGGGATCTGTGAGATTTTGGGGGGATTTTGTGGGATTTTGGGGATTCCCGGGGTCCCACCGGCGCTCCCGCAGGCAGGCGCGGCTGAAGGGGCCGTTCCGCGAGTCCTACCTGTGCCCGGCGCAGTCGGTGAAGCCGCGCATCGACGCGCGCGAGCAGCTGCCCCGGGACAAGCTCAACCCGCCCACGCCCAGCATCTACGTGAGTGCCCATTGGCTGCCTGCATGGGCCCCTGGCTGCTGATTGGCTCCCTGGCTGGGTTTCCTAATTGCTGATTGGCTCCCTTGATGAGCTCCCTGGCTGCTGATTGGCTGCCTGCATGGGTTTCTTGATTGCTGATTGGCTGCATGGATGGGTCCCCTGGCTGCTGATTGGTTCCTTGGATGGGTCTCCTTGATGCTCATTGGCTCCCTGGCTGGGTTTCTTGATTGCTGATTGGCTCCCTTGATGGGCCTTCCCTGGATGGGTCTCCTTGATGCTCATTGGCTCCCTGGCTGGGTTTCTTGATTGCTGATTGGCTCCCTGGATTGGTCCCTTGGCTGCTGATTGGCTCCCTACTAAAGGTCCCAGGGTGTCCTCTCTGCTCATTGGCTGCTGGGAAGGGTCCTGCTTCCTGATTGGCTCCTTGGCAAGGTGCCCTGGCTTCTGATTGGCTCCCTGCTGGGGATCCCAGGATGTCCCCTCTCCTGATTGGCTGGTGGGATTGGCTCCCTGGCTGGGTTTCCTAATTGCTGATTGGCTCCCTTGATGAGCTCCCTGGCTGCTGATTGGCTGCCTGCATGGGTTTCTTGATTGCTGATTGGCTGCATGGATGGGTCCCCTGGCTGCTGATTGGTTCCTTGGATGGGTCTCCTTGATGCTCATTGGCTCCCTGGCTGGGTTTCTTGATTGCTGATTGGCTCCCTTGATGGGCCCCCTGGTTGCTGATTGGCTGCCTGGATGGGCGCCCTAGCTGCTGATTGGCTCCTTGGATAGGTCTCCTTGATGCTCATTGGTTCCCTGGCTGGGTCCCATGGCTGCTCATTGGCTCTCTCCATGGGTCCCATGGCCTCTGATTGGCTCCCTCAATGGATCCCCTTGCTCCTGATTGGCTACCTGGATGAGTCCCCCAGTTGCTGATTGGCTCCCTCAATGGGTCCCCTGGCTGCTGATTGGTTCCCTGGCTGGGTTTCCTGATTGCTGATTGGCTCCCTGGATGGGTGCCCTGGCTGCTGATTGGCTCCCTGCCGGGGATCCCAGGGTGTCCCCTCTCCTGATTGGCTGGTGGCATCCTTGCTGCTGATTGGCTCCCTGGCAGATTCCCTCTCTCTGCGATTGGCCCCTGGCTGGATCCCTCCCCTCCTGATTGGTCCATCACAGGCAGCTCTTTGTTGATTGGCTGCTGGAAGGGGATGGATCGGCCAGAGCAACCCTGATTGGCCGATGGAACAGGAGACTCTCCTGATTGGCTGCTGGGTGGGGCCTCCCTTCTGCTGATTTGCTAGCGGGTGGGGGCAGAGTTTTTGGCTCCCTGGATGGGTGCCCTGGCTGCTGATTGGCTCCCTGCCGGGGATCCCAGGGTGTCCCCTCTCCTGATTGGCTGGTGGCATCCTTGCTGCTGATTGGCTCCCTGGCAGATTCCCTCTCTCTGCGATTGGCCCCTGGCTGGATCCCTCCCCTCCTGATTGGTCCATCACGGGCAGCTCTTTGTTGATTGGCTGCCGGAAGGGGATGGATCTGCCAGAGCAACCCTGATTGGCCGATAGAACAGGAGACTCTCCTGATTGGCTGCTGGGTGGGGCCTCCCTTCTGCTGATTGGCCAGTGGGTGGGGGCAGAGTTTCACAGTGAATCCTGCTGCTGATTGGCTGCCAGATCATGGCCTTTCAATCCTGATTGGCTGATGCACCAAACCATCTCAGTCCTGATTGGCTGCTTGGTTGGGCTGCCTGAATCCTCATTGGCTGCAGGATGATGAACCAGGCTCTGTCCATCCTGATTGGCTGATGCCCTAAACCTTCCCCATCCTGATTGGCTGATGTGCCAAACCATCTCCATCCTGATTGGCTGGTACCTGAAACCATCTAAATCCTGATTGGCCACTGGTTTTTGGGGCGTGGCTTGCTGTGATTGGTGCTGCGCTGTGATTGGTCCTTTCTCTGGGTGCCTGGTGCTGATTGGTCCCTGCCCGAGGGTGGCGGGCGAACAGGAGACTCTCCTGATTGGCTGCTGGGTGGGGCCTCCCTTCTGCTGATTTGCTAGCGGGTGGGGGCAGAGTTTCACAGCGAATCCTGCTGCTGATTGGCTGCCAGATCATGGCCTTTCAATCCTGATTGGCTGATGCACCAAACCATCTCAGTCCTGATTGGCTGCTTGGTTGGGCTACCTGAATCCTCATTGGCTGGAGGATGATGAACCAGGCTCTGTCCATCCTGATTGGCTGATGCTCTAAACCAGCTCCATCCTGATTGGCTGATGTCCCAAATCAATTCTATTCTGATTGGCTGATGCCCTAAACCATCTCTATCCTGATTGGCTGATGCTTCAAACCTTCTCCAGTCTGATTGGCTAATGCTCTAATCCAGCTCCATCCTGATTGGTTGCTGTTTGTTGGGGGTGTGGCCTGCTGTGATGGGTCTGTCTGTGAGGTTGCTGTGCTGTGATTGGTCCTTTCTCTGGGTGCTGGGTGCTGATTGGTCCCTGCCTGAGGGTGGCGGGCTGTGATTGGTCCCTTTGTTGGGTTCTGGTCTCTGATTGGCCGCTGCTGTTCCCAGCTGGAGAGCAAACGCGACGCCTTCTCGCCCGTGCTGCTGCAGTTCTGCACCGACCCCAAGAACCCCATCACCGTCATCCGGGGCCTGGCGGGCTCCCTGCGCCTCAGTGAGCACCCCAAAAACCCCAAAAAATACCCCAAAATACCCCAAAACCCCACAGAGACCCCAAAATCCCACAGGGACCCCAAAACCCCACAGGGACCCCAAAACCCGACCCCTGGATCCCCCCAAAGCGCCCCCTGGATCCCCCATCACCGTCATCCGGGGCCTGGCCGGGTCCCTGCGCCTCAGTGAGCACCCCAAAAACCCCAAAACCACCCCAAAAATACCCCAAAAACCCCAAATCCCCCAAAACCCCACAGGGACCCCAAAACCCGCCCCATGGATCCCCCCAAAGTGCCCCCTGGATCCCCCATCACCGTCATCCGGGGCCTGGCGGGGTCCCTGCGCCTCAGTGAGCACCCCAAAAATACCCTAAATACCCCAAAAACCACCCTAAAACCCCCTGTCCCTGTCCGTGTCCCCATTTAACCCTTTCCATCCTCATGACACCCCCAAATCCCCCTGGACACCCCCAAAATGACCCCAACCTGTTTGTGTTTCCCAGACCTGGGGCTGTTCAGCACCAAGACCCTTTTGGGGTCCCCTTGTCCCTGTCCCTGTCCCTGTCCCTGTTCCTGTCCCCTGTACGTGTCCCTGTCCCTGTCCCTGACCCTATTTAACCCTTCCTGACCCCCTGACACCCCCCAATGCCCCCCAGACACCCCCAGAATGACCCCAAACCCCCCAAATGCCCCAAACCTGTGAACAGGAGACTCTCCTGATTGGCTGCTGGGTGGGGCCTCCCTTCTGCTGATTTGCTAGCGGGTGGGGGCAGAGTTTCACAGCGAATCCTGCTGCTGATTGGCTGCCAGATCATGGCCTTTCAATCCTGATTGGCTGATGCACCAAACCATCTCAGTCCTGATTGGCTGCTTGGTTGGGCTACCTGAATCCTCATTGGCTGGAGGATGATGAACCAGGCTCTGTCCATCCTGATTGGCTGATGCTCTAAACCAGCTCCATCCTGATTGGCTGATGTCCCAAATCAATTCTATTCTGATTGGCTGATGCCCTAAACCATCTCTATCCTGATTGGCTGATGCTTCAAACCTTCTCCAGTCTGATTGGCTAATGCTCTAATCCAGCTCCATCCTGATTGGTTGCTGTTTGTTGGGGGTGTGGCCTGCTGTGATGGGTCTGTCTGTGAGGTTGCTGTGCTGTGATTGGTCCTTTCTCTGGGTGCCTGGTGCTGATTGGTCCCTGCCCGAGGGTGGCGGGCTGTGATTGGTCCCTTTGTTGGGTTCTGGTCTCTGATTGGCCGCTGCTGTTCCCAGCTGGAGAGCAAACGCGACGCCTTCTCGCCCGTGCTGCTGCAGTTCTGCACCGACCCCAAGAACCCCATCACCGTCATCCGGGGCCTGGCCGGGTCCCTGCGCCTCAGTGAGCACCCCAAAAACCCCAAAAAATACCCCAAAACCACCCTAAAACCCCAAATCCCCCAAAACCCCACAGGGACCCCAAAACCCGCCCCATGGATCCCCCCAAAGTGCCCCCTGGATCCCCCATCACCGTCATCCGAGGCCTGGCCGGGTCCCTGCGCCTCAGTGAGCACCCCAAAAACCCCAAATCCCCCAAAACCCCACAGGGACCCCCAAATTGCCCCATGGATCCCCCATCACCGTCATCCGAGGCCTGGCCGGGTCCCTGCGCCTCAGTGAGCACCCCAAAAACCCCAAATCCCCCAAAACCCCACAGGGACCCCCAAATTGCCCCATGGATCCCCCCAAACTGCCCCATGGATCCCCCATCACCGTCATCCGAGGCCTGGCCGGGTCCCTGCGCCTCAGTGAGCACCCCAAAAACCCCAAAAACACCCCAAAATACCCCAAAACCCCACAGGGACCCCCCAAACTGCCCCCTGGATCCCCCATCACCGTCATCCGGGGCCTGGCGGGGTCCCTGCGCCTCAGTGAGCACCCCAAAAATACCCTAAATACCCCAAAAACCACCCTAAAACCCCCTGTCCCTGTCCGTGTCCCCATTTAACCCTTTCCATCCTCATGACACCCCCAAATCCCCCTGGACACCCCCAAAATGACCCCAACCTGTTTGTGTTTCGCAGACCTGGGGCTGTTCAGCACCAAGACCCTCATGGAGATTCCCTGTCCCTGTCCTCATTTAACCCTTTCCATCCTCATGACAGCCCCAAATCCCCCTGGACACCCCCAGAATGACCCCAAACCCCCCAAATGCCCCAAACCTGTGTTTCGCAGACCTGGGGCTGTTCAGCACCAAGACCCTGGTGGAGGCCAGCGGCGAGCACGCGGTCGAGGTGCGCACGCAGGTGCAGCAGCCCTCGGACCAGAACTGGGACCTGTCGGGGACGCGCCAGGTGTGGCCCTGCGAGAGCAGCCGCTCCCACACCACCATCGCCAAGTACGCCCAGTACCAGGCCTCCTCCTTCCAGGAGTCCCTGCAGGTGAGGGACATGGGGACATGGGGACACGCTGGGGACACACAGGGGACACACCCCAGGGACAGGTGACACAGCAGGGACCCCACACCACCATCGCCAAGTACGCCCAGTACCAGGCCTCCTCCTTCCAGGAGTCCCTGCAGGTGAGGGACGGGGACATGGGGACACGGGGACACGCTGGGGACATGGGGACACACAGGGGACACAGCTCAGGGACATGGGGACACAGCAGGGACCCCACACCACCATCGCCAAGTACGCCCAGTACAGGTGTGCTCCTTCCAGGAGTCCCTGCAGGTCAGTCAGGGGGGTCACAGGTGAGGGACAGGGACAGGGGGACACGGGGACACACAGGGGACACACCCCAGGGACAGGGGACACAGCTCAGGGACAGGGGACACAGCAGGGACCCCACACCACCATCGCCAAGTACGCCCAGTACCAGGCCTCCTCCTTCCAGGAGTCCCTGCAGGTGAGGGACAGGGACAGGGGACATGCTGGGGACATGGGGACACACCCTGGGGACAGGGGACACACAGGGGACACACCCCAGGGATAGGGGACACAGAGGGGACACAGCTCAGGGGCAGGGGACACAGCAGGGACCCCACACCACCATCGCCAAGTACACCCAGTACAGGTGTGCTCCTTCCAGGAGTCCCTGCAGGTGAAGGACAGGGACATGGGGACACAAAGGGGACACAGCTCTGTGACAAGGGACACGGCTCAGGGACAGGGGACGCGCCAGGTGTGGCCCTGTGACATCAGCTGTTCCCACACCAGCATGTCCCGGAGCCCTCGGAGCTGGAAACGAGGTCAGGCGGGGGGGACAGCGGGGACAGCGGGGACAGCGGGGACAGCTGGGGGACAGCAGAGACACTGGGGGGACAATGGGGACACGGGGGGACAGCGGGGGGACAATGGGGACAGTGGAGGGGACACCTGGGTGACAATGGAGGGGTCAGGGTCACTCTCAGGTGACAATGGGGGGGTCACAGCCACTCTCAGGTGACGATGGGGGTGTCAGGGTCACAATGGCAGGGTCAGGGTCACTTTCAGGTGACAGTGGCGGGGTCAGGGTCTCAGGTGACAGGGTCAGGGTCACAGTGGCAAGGTCAGAGTCTCTCAAGTGACACTGGCACGGCCGGGGTCTCTCAGGTGACACTGGCACGGCCGGGGTCTCTCAGGTGACAGGGTCAGGGTCTCTCAGGTGACAGTGGCAAGGTCAGGGTCTCTCAGGTGACAATGGGGGGGTCACAGCCACTCTCAGGTGACAGGGTCAGGGTCTCTCAGGTGACACTGGCACGGCCGGGGTCTCTCAGGTGACAGGGTCTGGGTCTCTCAGGTGACAGGGCGTGGCCCCCGGGCGGGCCGTGCCCCAGGTGGGTGCCCCCCGGGTGACACGGCTGTCCCCGTGTCGCTGCCCCGCAGGTGGAAGCCGCAGCTGCAGGAGCTGCTGAAGCTGCCGGCGTTCATGCGCGTGTCCTCCACGGGGAACATGCTGAGCCACGTGGGCCACACCATCCTGGGCATGAACACCGTGCAGCTCTACATGAAGGTGCCCGGCAGCCGCACGCCCGGTGAGACACCTGAAACACACCTGGGCACACCTGGGGACACCTGGGGACACACAAAACACACCTGGGCACGGTCTCTCAGGTGACACTGGCACAGGGTCTCTCTCAGGTGACAGGGTCAGGGTCTCTCAGGTGACAGGGTCAGGGTCTCTCAGGTGACACTGGCACAGGGTCTCTCTCAGGTGACAGGGTCAGGGTCTCTCAGGTGACAGGGTCAGGGTCTCTCAGGTGACACTGGCACAGGGTCTCTCTCAGGTGACAGGGTCAGGGTCTCTCAGGTGACAGGGTCAGGGTCTCTCAGGTGACAGGGTCAGGGTCTCTCAGGTGACAGGGTCAGGGTCTCTCAGGTGACAGGGTCAGGGTCTCTCAGGTGACAGGGTCAGGGTCTCTCAGGTGACACTGGCACAGGGTCTCTCTCAGGTGACAGGGTCAGGGTCTCTCAGGTGACACTGGCACAGGGTCTCTCTCAGGTGACAGGGTCAGGGTCTCTCAGGTGACACTGGCACAGGGTCTCTCTCAGGTGACAGGGTCAGGGTCTCTCAGGTGACACTGGCACAGGGTCTCTCTCAGGTGACAGGGTCAGGGTCTCTCAGGTGACACTGGCACAGGGTCTCTCAGGTGACAGGGCGTGGCCCCCGGGCGGGCCGTGCCCCAGGTGGGTGCCCCCCGGGTGACACGGCTGTCCCCGTGTCGCTGCCCCGCAGGTGGAAGCCGCAGCTGCAGGAGCTGCTGAAGCTGCCGGCGTTCATGCGCGTGTCCTCCACGGGGAACATGCTGAGCCACGTGGGCCACACCATCCTGGGCATGAACACCGTGCAGCTCTACATGAAGGTGCCCGGCAGCCGCACGCCCGGTGAGCCACACACACCTGAAACACACCTGGGCACACCTGGGCACACACAAAACACACACCTGGGCACACCTGAAACACACCTGGGCACACCTGGGCACACCTGGGGGCACACAAAACAGGAGCTGCTGAAGCTGCCGGCGTTCATGCGCGTGTCCTCCACGGGGAACATGCTGAGCCACGTGGGCCACACCATCCTGGGCATGAACACCGTGCAGCTCTACATGAAGGTGCCCGGCAGCCGCACGCCCGGTGAGCCACACACACCTGAAACACACCTGGGCACACCTGGGCACACACAAAACACACACCTGGGCACACCTGAAACACACCTGGGGACACCTGAAACACACCTGGGCACACCTGAAACACACCTGGGCACACCTGGGGACACACAAAACACACCTGGGGACACACAAAACACACACCTGAAACACACCTGGGGAACACCCCAAAACACACCTGGGGGCACCTGGGGACACACAAAACACACCTGGGGAACACCCACACCATCCTGGGCACGAACACCGTGCAGCTCTACGTGAAGGTGCCCGGCAGCCGCACGCCTGGTGAGCTCCACACCTGGGCACACCTGGGCACACCTGGGGCACATGGAAAACACAACACACCTGGGCACACCTGGGCACACGTGGTTGCACCTGGGGAATTTTTTTCGTGCCTTTTTTAGGAACTTCCCCAGAATTTCTGCCATTTCTTTGCTGACTTTTTTTTTTTTTGCGATTTTTTGAGGAATTTCCATGGTTTTTTGGTTTTTTTTTGCCTTTTGGGGCTTTTCATGGGATTTTTTTCCGTGGGAGGCGACAAAAACCGACAGCACTGGGGGACAGCAGCCCCCAGTGTGCTGGGGTGACACGGGGTGACACGGGGTGACACGGGGTGGCCCGGGGTGGCACAGGGTGACACAGGGTGGCACAGGGTGGCACGGGGTGGCAGTGGCAGTGACGGTGGCAGCGTCCCCCGCAGGCCACCAGGAGAACAACAACTTCTGCTCGGTGAACATCAACATCGGCCCCGGCGACTGCGAGTGGTTCGCGGTGCACGAGCACTACTGGGAGACCATCTCCGCCTTCTGCGACAGGTGGGCGTGGCCTGCATAAAGGGGGCGTGGTCTGCATAAATGGGGCGTGGTCTGCATAAAATAGGGAGTGGTCAGTGAAAGGGGAGGGGCTTGCATAAGGGCGGTGCAGTTAATTGGGGCAGGATTACTGGTAGAACATACCTGCCTTCTGAGACAGGTGGGCGTGGCCTGCATAAAAAGGGGCGTGGTTTGCATAAAAGAGGGTGTGGTCTGCATAAAGTATGAGTTGTTTGCATGAAATCAGTGAAAGGGGCGGGGTTATTGGGGTAACACTGCTGGGGCAGCATCACCTTCTGTGACAGTGGGCGAAGCCTGCATGGAAGGGGCGTGGCCTGCATGGAAGAGGGCGTGGTTATGGAATGACAGCCTGTATAAGGGGCGGGGCTTGGGGAAAGGGGAGGGGTCTGCGTAAAGAGGCCACCACACCATAATTGCTGTTAATTATTGGGGGTGTGGCCTGGGTGGAGTCAGTGGGTGTGTCCTGATAATTCGGGGGCGTGGTCATACATGGGGCGTGGCTAACTGCAGTGGGCGTGGCCAACCCGCCTTTCCCAGCACGGAGGAGGAAGAGGAGGAGGAAGAGGAGGAGGAATTCCGGGCTGGGAGGGAAGGGGCGGGGCCCTGTGGGCGTGTCCGGGTGTGGGCGGGGCTGTCTCTGACCACGCCCCCGGCGCAGGCACGGCGTGGACTACCTGACGGGCTCGTGGTGGCCCATCCTGGAGGACCTGTACCGCTCCAACATCCCGGTGTACCGCTTCGTGCAGCGCCCCGGCGACCTGGTGTGGATCAACGCCGGCACCGTGCACTGGGTGCAGGCCACGGGCTGGTGCAACAACATCGCCTGGAACGTGGGGCCGCTCACCGGTGAGGGGACACGGGACACTGGGGACACTGGGGGGTGACAACAACATCGCCTGGAACGTGGGGCCGCTCACCGGTGAGGGGACAGGGGACACTGAGGACACTGGGGACACTGGGGGAACATCACCTGGAACGTGGGGCTGCTGACTGGTGAGGGGACACGGGGACACTGGGGACACTGGGAACAACATCGCCTGGAACGTGGGGCCGCTCACCGGTGAGGGGACACGGGACACTGGGGACACTGGGGACAGTGGGAACAACATCGCCTGGAACGTGGGGCCGCTCACCGGTGAGGGGACACTGGGGTGACACTGGGGACACTGGGGACACTGCGGGGTGACAACAACATCGCCTGGAACGTGGGGCCACTCACCGGTGAGGGGACACGGGGTGACATTGGAGAGACTGGGGTGACATTGGAGACATTGGGGACACTGAGGTGACATTGGGGACACACCGTGGGCTGGCACATGGTGGCCACAGAGCATCCGGGGGGGGATCTGTGTGTCCCGGGGGGGCTCAGGGTGCACTGGCCGTGACGTGACTGTGACGTCCCTGTCCCCGTCCCCTGTCCCCAGTGTCCCTGGTGATGATGCCCCTGTGGCGGGTGACAGAGGGTGACAGTGTCCCTGGTGATGGTGTCCCTGCCGCGGGTGATAGTGGGTGTCAGGTGACGCTGTTCCTGGTGACAGTGTCCCCATGGTGGGTGGCTCAGGTGCCTCAGGAGCCAGCAGGTGCCATGCGTGGCCCGGGTGCCCCAGATGCCCCGGGTGGCTCAGGTGTCCCCAGGTGCCCCGGGTGGTTGAGGTGTCCCCTATGTCCTGGGTGTCCCAGGTGTCACACAGATGCCCCAGGTACCCCGGGTATCCTGGGTGTCCCCTGTGCCCCAGGTGGCTCAGCTGAGGTGTCCCCAGGTGCCCCGGGTGTCCCCTGTGCCCCAGGTGTGCCCGGGTGTCCCAGGTGTCCCAGGTGCCCCCTGTGCCCCGGGTGTCCCTTGTGCCCCGGGTGTCCCAGGTGTCCCCTGTGCCCCGGGTGTCCCAGGTGCCCCCAGGTGCCCTGGGTGTCCCAGGTGCCCCGGTGTCCCAGGTGTCCCCAGGTGCCCTGGGTGGCTCAGCTGAGGTGTCCCAGGTGTCTGAGGTGTCCCCTGTGCCCCAGGTGCCCTGGGTGTCCCAGGTGTCCCCTGTGCCCCGGCTGTCCCAGGTGTCCCGGGTGTCTGAGGTGTCCCCTGTGCCCCGGGTGTCCCCAGGTGCCCTGGGTGTCCCAGGTGCCTCAGGTGTCCCCAGGTGCCCTGGTGTCCCGGGTGTCCCCTGTGCCCTGGGTGTCCCCAGGTGCCCGGGTGTCCCAGGTGTCCCCAGGTGCCCGGGTGTCCCGGGTGTCCCCTGTGCCCTGGGTGTCCCAGGTGTCCCCAGGTGTCCCGGGTGTCTGAGGTGTCCCCTGTGCCCCGGCTGTCCCAGGTGTCCCAGGTGTCCCCAGGTGTCCCAGGTGTCCCCAGGTGCCCTGGGTGGCTCAGCTGAGGTGTCCCAGGTGTCTGAGGTGTCCCTGTGCCCGCAGGTACTGCCTGCTGCAGTCCATCAAGCACTGCCAGGTGCAGCGCGAGAGCCTGGTGCGCGCGGGCAAGAAGATCGCGTACCAGGGCCGCGTCAAGGACGAGCCGGCCTACTACTGCAACGAGTGCGACGTGAGTGACACCGCCCTGGGGACAGGGACAGGGCACTGCCACGGTGCTGGGGACACGGCCTGGCACTGCCACTGTGGGGAGGGACATGGCACTGTCACAGTGCTGGGGACACAGCCTGGCACTGTCACAGTGCAGGGGACACGGCCCAGCACTGCCAAAGCACGGGACACGGGCTGGCACTGCCATCGCAGGGACAGGGACACTGTCTGGCAATGCCACAGAGATGGGGACCCAGCCGCGGCACTGTCACACTGCTGGGTGTGGCCCTGGGGTGGCTTTGTCCTTGGCTGTGGCACTGCCACACCGTTGTTCATGACCATGGGCTGTCCTGGCTGTGTCACTGACCATTGCACTGACCACTCCCCTGTCCGAGGGCTGTCCTGGCTGTGTCACTGACCATTCCCCTGTCCGAGGGCTGTCCTGGCTGTGTCACTGACCATTCCCCTGTCCGAGGGCTGTCCTGGCTGTGTCACTGACCATTCCCCTGTCCGAGGGCTGTCCCTGACCATTGCACTGACCATTGCACTGACCATTGCACTGACCATTGCACTGACCATCCCCTGACCATCCCCTGACTGTGCTGGCACAGGTGGAGGTGTTCAACATCCTGTTTGTGACGAGCGAGACGGGCGGGCGCAACACGTACCTGGTGCACTGCGAGGGCTGCGCGCGGCGCCGCGGCGGCGGCCTGGCCGGCGTGGTGGTGCTCGAGCAGTACAAGACCGAGGAGCTGATGCAGATCTACGACGGCTTCACGCTGGTCAGCGCCGGGACAGGGGACAGGGGACAGGGGGACAGGGGGGACACAACGGGGACACAACGGGGACACCAGGGGGACACAATGGGGACACAATGGGGACACAACGGGGACACCAGGGGCACACAACGGGGACACAACAAGGGGGACAGAGGGACAGGGGACAGCTGGGGACACAATGGGGACACAATGGGGACAGGGGGACAGGGGAACAGAGGGACAGCTGGGGACACAACGGGGACACAATGGGGACAGTGGGGACACAATGGGGACAGCTGGGGACACAATGGGGACAGGACACAACGGGGACAGGGGGACAGGGGACAGAGGGACAGCTGGGGACACAATGGGGACAGAGGGACAGAGGGGACACAATGGGGACACAACGGGGACAGGGGGACAGAGGGACAGGGGACAGCTGGGGACACAATGGGGACACAATGGGGACACTGGGGACAGAGGGGACAGGGGGACACAGTGGGGACACAATGGGGACAGGGGGGACACAACGGGGACACAATGGGGACAGGGGGACAGTGGGGACACTGGGGACAGAGGGACAGCTGGGGACACAACAGGGACACCAGGGGGACACAATGGGGACACTGGGGACAGGGGGGACACAGCTGGGGATACACCTGGGACAGCGGGACAGAGGGGACAGGGGGACAGGGGGACAGAGGGGACACAATGGGGACAGCTGGGAGAGCTGGGGACACAGTGGGGACAGAGGGACACTGGGGACAGAGGGGAGAGCGGGGACAGAGGGGACACTGGGATGGCTGGGGACAGCAGGGACAGCGGGGACACTGGGGACAGGGGGGACAGGAGGGACAGGGGGACAGAGGGACAGAATGGGGACAGTGGGGACACTGGGGACACAATGGGGACAGAGGAACAGGGGGACAGCAGGACAGAGGGACTGGGGGACAGAGGGACAGGGGGATAGCGGGATGGATGGGGATACACCTGGGACAGCGGGGACAGTGGGGACAGAGGGGACAAAATGGGGACAGAGGGGACAGCAGGACAGCTGGGGACACAGTTGGGGACAGCGGGGATACACCTGGGACATGGCTGGGGACACTGGGGACAGCTTGGGGACAGCTGAGGCTACACCTGGGGACACCCGGGCACACACTGGGGGTGGGGACACCCGCGTGGGGCTGTCCCCTCCCGCTGACCTCGCCCCTCCCCCCAGGTGACGCCGCCGACCCCCAGATGAGGCCGGGCCCCCCCCCCGGGCACCCCCCCCCCCCCCCCCCCCGCCGGCGGCCTTCCCAAACTTTCCCCCACCCCTTCGCCCAACTCCGGCGGGGCAAACTCACCGCGGGGCCCGGCGGGCGGCTTCGCCCCTGGCAGCGGGGCCGGGAGGGAAGGGAGAGGGACGGGGACGGGGAGGGGGCGGAGGAGGCGGCCGGGCCGGTGCTCTCCGCCCGGGGAGGCGGGCAGGAAGAAGGGGAGGAGGGCTGGGGGCTGCCGCTTCGCAACCTGAGCCACAGCCTCCGCCGCGCCCGCCCGGCCCGGGCAGCCCGCATGCGCCGCCCCGGCGGGGCCGAGCGGGGCCGGGGGAGGAGGGCTGGGGGCTGCCGCTTCGCAACCTGAGCCACAGCCTCCGCCGCGCCCGCCCGGCCCGGGCAGCCCGCATGCGCCGCCCC